ACATCCGATAACTTACACTCGCCGCATGTGGTTGATGGCGCGCTTGGATGATTCGTTGGCAGTCATAAGTTCGACGTTTAGAATACGTGCCGGAGACCTCCATTTGAATACACAGGCTGTCAGTAACTGTTTTCCAGAACCCAAACCCAACTGTTTCGGTCTGAGCACGACGTTCTGTCTCCCTAGGCGAGAACTGATCACATTTGGTGGTGACCCAGCTCGCTATTGGATATTTATGTGATGCTTTGAAGCTAAATTGACCCAAACGACTTCCGATCCAATTTTCATATGTGCTACACTACTACTGTGGGGATGCTAAAGAAGCCATCGAAAGCTATTTGATTCTCGAACCTGGTTAAAGTCTCAAAGAGGCGATGAATAGCTTGCTCAAACGCTTCGAGTTACTTCACATGCTGGCGAGCATCCATATCATTGCTTTAACAGGTGCACCAACATCAAAACCAATGATTTTGCAGCGCTCTCTCATTTAACTGTAGAACTGCGGTCTTGTTACTTGCCTTTGAAGCATTTTAGATACGGTGCTCGTCTGAACTCGTCGCGAACAGTTAGCCGTGTGGTCAGACGACTGCCCAACAATTTGCAATTTAAGTGGGCCGACCATTCCATTAGGTTCATCCGGGCAGAAAGAGAGCCAAATTTTATTGATTTTACGGAGTTCGTGGATGGAACAGCCGAAGTCGTCGGCACTTTTATCCCATCTCCCTTCGCATCAACTGTCAACACTACTAGAAGTAGTGGCTTAAATCTCCGAGATCGGACTACTAGTTCGAACACTGTAACATCCGTAGAACGGCCTCCTAAATGCATTTTCTGTGAACAACATCCTTATTTCTATCAAGTATCTTGTAGCATATTGACACACGAGAGTGTTCGCGACAGCATGTCACACTTTTAAACTCTTCTAATTTGCTCACAAGCGAACAGATTTTGGCACTGATCAAACTAGGTGTACTCATACAGCTTAGTTTTCTCCTTCGAAGTGCAGCCCGGTGCTTTCTTGTGGAACTACTGCGTTTTCTTTTGATTTTTTCCTAATAGATATGTCAGCGCAATTATTGTCATTTGGTTATCGGATCACTGTCTCAGCAATGGAACAGATCAACCTGGACCTGAGCAGTGAATGTTCGATGCACGCTTATGACTATCACAGTTGATGACGAAACACAATAATGACCAACGCTGTCGTAGCCTCAAAACTTGCTTCCAACAAAACATTGGGTTCTGTTAGGTTGCTTTCCTTGCATAAGGGAATCCCACTAGTTGCAACTTCTCTTGAAAACCTATGTTACCCCAAAATTTAACCGTCACCGCCAAGCACTTACTTACGTTACCATCCTGTTCGCTTTGGACAATGTTCTTCTCATTCAATCTGCTCCGATGCACTATCTACACCATTGCCAGTACACCAATTTGGTCGTTAATAGTCGTTATGGAGGATATATATATATTTCCCCATGAATACCACCAAAATAGATGTACAAAATGCCCACCAGCGTTTTGCTCGCAGTGCAAAAGTCGCTGATGCTGTTGACTAGCACTTTTTCCGATGTCTCCGCCATGGTCCTGCAACATTCGTTCAAAATGCTCTGCTTCTTTCCTCACGAGAACTGGGCCTGGTTTTATAACCTCCATTTCAGGTAGCCTCATATAATCATCATCATCAACAGCAGTACATCAACCATTTGAACTGATGCTGCGCTGCCATACAAGAGAGAAGAAGGACTTACCTGAAAACATTAATGCCCTACACAAACATGCAGGGTCAAGGCGCCTACACCTTGTGTAGACAACATACCGTCACAAACAGCTGGCTATCGTGCAAAGATAAGGCGGCATCGGCGAGACAGCTTCCTTGCGGCTTACACTGCCCCGCATCATAATCAGCCATTACCCAGCAGATAACTCAGCACCAAACACACTTTAAACAGGCAATCCGATTAGGAGACGGCAGCAGACGCGCCGCTGGTGTCGGTTGTGAGCCATGTCTTGTAAAGTCTCGAACTGAGCACAAGGCGTGTCACGTGGACTCCAGCCCGGAAGGCGATACGGACCAACGGAACCCAGTTTGGTCTTCAGTGACTTCATTTGCCGCTGCCAAGTCAACTTATGTCCACCTCGAGCCTTGCGCCACCATACACCCGGCAGACTAACAAAGCCCCTCCTGGGTAAGCATACGTAGCACGTGTCCGATCCAACGCAACTTATTCAGTGCTATCTGTTGTTCTAGGGAGATAGCATTTATTTGAATTTTCTGGAAAGAGGAATGCACAAGTAACGTTGAGCGGAGAACCTCGCGAGACACTGCTTTATGTTCGATCAACATCTTGCCGTACCCAGCGGTCTGTTCACATATTTCTTTCATGAATTGCGTTTAATTTTATGTAGACTGTGGGCTGGCCATACCGAGAATTCCTTTCTTATAGCATGGAATATCCGGAAGATATGTTGCCGAAAATGGCCGGAAATGATCAGTGACTTTAGTTGTACATGAATTGCACTTGCCTTGTTTTCATGGCGGATAGCTTCTCAAGTACCACGAATGGCAGATTGCTTTAACTCCGTTCATAACCAGGTCCTGGTGCAGTTGGTAATTAGCGATCATAGGTGTTATAACACAACCGGTGAGTAATGCATTTGTAGTGAAATGACAATACTCTTGATAAGTTTGTGGAACGGCATGTGCCATTGATTTTTGTATTTTGCTACCGATTTGTATCTCAGTGTAGTGCAAGCACGGTAATACTAAGACGTGAATCCACGCACCGAACTAACTGATGTCCGCGGAGATGCTTTCCACTGGGTCCGTATGTGGAATGATGCAGATAACCGACAACATGGTTATTTAATGGAATGATTATGCGGATTGTGAATACCAGAAAGCAAAGCTTTGGCTTGTTTGGGCATGCTGATTTAAAGTATGTGAAAAATTACGGTAGGAATGTAAACATTCATTAGACGAAAGATCGAAGATCATTTGTGTCTCTCCCACATCACATAACCGACAAGCGTAACGCGCATGCGTCTGGTTGTAATATTCCGAACAGTTGATATGGAGGTTGATTTTGATTCATTAAAAGCTGGGTAAAGCGTGCTGCGTAATCACTGATTTTATTTCAGTGACGGGTTTCGATGAGTAAACGGTGTCATTAATCCGTTCAACGTAAACAGTATGCTATCCGAAGCAGCGACTTTCTTGATAAATTCCACTTTACTCCGCTTTCCACCTAGATGAGGGTGGCTACAGGAGACGGCACCTTGATAAACGTGGTAAGTCTGAGTAGTGTAATAAAAACTGCACTAAATATCACCAACCTAATCTTTACAGTGACTATTTTCGCATGTAGACTACGGTTAAATATGATGGATACGAAGTTGACAAATGCAGGCAAATGATCGTCAGCAAGTTTGCGTGCGTGCTGATGAAACTACAGACAGGCTTTTGCGAAATGACCGTAGTTGCCTTAAGCAAGATCTAACGACACAATATTGGTGACGGGATATTTTATTCATGTGAGATGGAGGGGCGTTCCCACTGGCTGAAGTGGGTTGCTAAGTCTAGATGATTGACTCTCAGTTCAGTGCAATGCCCAAGTTCGAGGAGGAAGTGGCAAACCTGGTTGGTGTGATTCAGAATTTTGGTTAGCCATCATGAGGTCCATGCTGAGGTGCACATACCAACTGCTCAATTTCCGCTATATTACAATCTATGACTATATAGCATATAAAGCAAGCTACAATCAATTTCATGTATGTCCATTGCAAAGTATCCAAAGCATCAGGATTTTGCTTTTCTTGGCAGTTTGGGATGGACGACGTTATGGTAAGCATTTGCATTGCTCCACATGTGAATTCGTTAGTAGTGACCGTTGGAAATTGGGAAGTGACATTGGATAAATCATGGCTTTGCTTGTCCTACATAATAATCGGAATTATGTTTACAAATGCAATGGAATGTGTGTTAAGAATTCGATTGCGTACTAGTGAAATCATTGAGACTGTACGCTGACAACATTGTGTCCACTTGTTTAGAAGTAACACAGTGAATTTGCATGTGGCCTGTTGGTTCCTGAAAAACACCGCTAGTGCACTGGAAGGAATACGAGTTTGAGTCAATTTTCCTCGTGGCCATGCTGCTTTATCAAGTTATAGCATAGACTTCAGTGTTGTGTTATGAATGCGTCTGCTGCGGAAGCGACGGTCATGCCTGTAGTGCAACAGAAAACATGCTCTTTCAGTATCTTGTAACATTGGATTTTATGGTTGTTTTAACCTTCGAAACGTCCATTTGTTTAACTGACTGCACATCCGTTCTCACAAACCGTTTTGGTGAGTTCCTCGCTGCACGTTTCTCGCTCTGTCTGATTCGCTTCCTATTCTTGTAGCCTGCACAATACACGTTGGGTTCAGTCTCCTCCAACTTCTTTACTGTCGTATTTGACACGTCTTACGTGTCATCGTTTACCGACTAGTATCCCAGGATA